GGGGGGGGGTAGGCCTACTCTAAAACTGCTATTTTTAACTTATCAAATAAGGCCATTATAACCATGTTTTAGAAACCTGTAAGTTTAAGTATTTTTAATGTTATATTTCATTCATTTTCTTTTTTCCCCCCCCAACAGTACGAAGTTGGAACAATTGGCCAGCTACCAAGTCTCAAAGACAAAGCTGTGAGTGGCAGACTGAAGACACGAAGGTTCAGTGACGGCATGTTGTTGAAATGTGACCTCAAGGTAATTTGATTAACCCTTAAAGAACGCAACAGACACACGTCCTATCAGCAGCACAGCAAAGACAACGTTATGAAACATTTCGAAGTATGCATTTTACAAAAATTTAAAATGCGAGTTTGCACAGTTCGTAATGTTACACATGTTGTTGCATTTCTTTTAAAGTTTCAGATTTAAAAAATACAGTCGAAAAATCTGTAAGAATAATGAAGCCCCAAAACAGCATTATCTTCCTTGCCTGCGTTGTCGACTGATCAGAATGCGCGTGCCCAAAGAGTTAACGTACTGGGTTACTGCTGTGAGAGTCAGCACAGTGTTGGTACAATAATGTAGACGGCAATGAAAAGGAATGCCTTCATTCGTTTGTCTTTATTTTTTTTCGGGTATTTGTTGTTGTTTTGTGTGTGGTAGCCTATCCGTTCGAAATGTTTGGAGCCCCAAAGAGCGTCTCTACTGTAATTATGTAAACGCTGCGATTCTTGTTCTTTTGTGGAGCAAGTCAACTACCGCCAGGTCCAAGAGGAAGTTTTGTTTTTGTTTTTGGAAAGAAGACAAAATTTCGGATCTCAGTGGGAGGTAACTTCGGGTTTAATTTTTGTTTTCGGTATAAAACAGTTATCAACTTCCTCAAAGTGGGGTGTACATGTATATAAGTTTAGTTTTAATAAACGGGAAGAGAAGGGAGTGCGAGTGAATTGAGATTGTCAGAATTTGTGAAGAGTACATTTTCATGTGAACTTAGTGAGATCAGTGAGATCCTCGGGTTCAGCATAGATATAATCTTATGTCGACAACGAATTATAATATGGTCCAAGTTATCTCTCATTGGTCATCGCCGTACATTGACGAACGAACTATTCTTCTTCTTGTTTTTGTTGTTGTTGTTGTTGTTGTTGTTGTTGCTGTTGTTGTTGTTGTTGTTGTTGTTGTTGTTGTTGTTGTTGTT